TTTTTGTATACAAAGTGTTCTGAAGCAAATAGGCTGTACTTCAAGGATAGCTTCCTGTTGTGGAAATACATAATTCGATTTAAATTAAGTTACCCTAGTAAAATTATGCTTGTAGGCCTCGAAATAATTTTGTCATCTATTTTAAGATAACTCCGTCATTTTGAAAATATTTCAATAAAATTTGATTTAGGGAAGTTTTGGGGGCAATTTGTTTATTGCCATATTTTTTTTTTGTAGATTTTGAGAAAACGCGATGTATTTTGAAGCACCATTTTATAATGAAAATAATACTCTCAATAGTTCTAAATGTAATGGAATTTTTATCAGTTCAGAATATCTTAAATCTAAGTATGCGTTTCTGTGAGAATATGACGTTTATAATTTAACAATATAATAATATTGTGTACTAGACTATGGATATGCTGTTACAGAAAACTTCTTACTTATGGAAATCCTCTATGTTTCTCTATTTGTAAATAAAAGAAGGATTTAGTTGAACTTCCTATTTAACACTCGGTACAATTAAAGTATAGTCCAGCACGTCATTGTCATTACTGCCCACCGCGTTCGTTTCACTTTTATATATTTTTTAAATTATCACTTATAGTCTCCCTAGTGCTTGAATTATTTCCGGAAATTTTTCCGAAGGAACGCATATTTTGAAATTTTCGAGAAAAATGCGCGAGAGGAAAAATTTCTGGACATTAATTCAAGGACGTGGGGGGATTCGGTAAGAAAATTTTACAAGCAAAATTTATTTTAGAAATTTGACATGTTTCATTTTGAAACTTATTTCGCCAAAATAAAGTTGGCTTGATAGGTAGACATTGTTTTGTGGTGCATGACATATTTTTTTCTTCTTGAACGTCACATAATTTAATCGCATTTCACGCGTTTTTTTTAATTCAAAAATGGCTCGTTTTGGAAATGAAAATTCCGAAAACATAAAAACAACACGTTCCTTTCACTTTCGTAATAAATGAGACATTCAATTTTTGAATTCAGATATTTACCTTTGCAATACAATTCACTTAGTATTACTAAAATAGAAGGAACGTAAGTTTTTGTAGAAAAACGATGTCTATGGCAATTTATCAAAGATTCTTATTAAAACATAAAAAAACAAAAGGCATATAATTTTTTAATTTAAATATTTATCTTTGCAACACAATTTACTTAGTATTACTAAAATAGAAGGAAAGTAAGTTTTTGTAAAAAAGTGATGTCTATGGCAGTTTATCAATGATTCTTATTAAAACATAAAAAAACACATTCCTTGCACTTTAGTAATAAAAATGGCATTTAATTTTTAAATTCAAATATTCATCTTTGCAGTGCAATTCACTTAGTATTACTAAAATAGAAGGAAAGTAAGTTTTTGTGGAAAACCGATGTCTATGGCAATATATCAATGATTTTTAAAAAATCATAACTGCAATCAAGTAGGCTTAGGCTTGTGATGTCAAAATCGTCGTCAAAAATGTCAAAACACAGACATCTGATGGAAATGAAAAATAAAGGTAATAATTATGCTACTCGTTACTCTCCGTTGCAAAGAGAAGAGTTCCAGCCAAAAACATTTAGCGTTAATAGAAGAAATCTCGGAACAAATATTTGGTAAATAATTATTTGTATCTATTTATTATTTTAAAATAAATAAAAACATTACAAAGCAAAATTCTGGATAGGTACTGATTATGATAGCTGTCAAAAAAAATTCCACTTATTAATTTTGTTTGCAGGAGGAAAAAAATTTCCGAAAAATTTGAAGGTTGCCATGGGCAACTGTCGAAATTACAGTATGTAATTGGCTTAAAATGTAAAATTTTTAGTTAAATAATGATTTAAATAATGTCAAAAAACGCTGTATGTTGTGAACTAGTGAATGATTGAGCACACATATTTGTCAAACATAAACAAATGCCGTATCATGTAAATTGTGCATATCGACACTTTCAAAAAGTATGTCTTCACATTCCAAATATTTGCCAAAGCTATACAAACAGCACATCGCTGGTCTATTCAATATGTCAATGTCATTCAATATGTATGTATTTAAGGACATATTTGCCATGTACTTATATTACGTTTCTGTACATCATATGTATGATACAACTGGGCGCTATAGACATTGGCCAATTAATCTGCAAATATTTGAACCAATAGTGACGAATATTTTTCCAGCTTTTTATTATACTACACTGTATTTGCAATATTATTTATTATTCGAAAATGATAAGCGAAAACCTTTTACCAATATATTTCTGTTTCTACAGTATATTTCCCTATATTTTGCATCCCACCTAAAGCTGATATTTTTGGGGATGAGAGAAATATTAAATATCAAAGTTGTATGTTTTCCTGATGCTCAAGAATTTTGTAGCAAATCGAACAAATGAAGGTATCAAAATAAATTAACTATATTATTATATTTTTATACACCTAATTAAAAGAATCAATTTCTCACTATTACAATGATATACGCTTTGATGAATGTATTTCTTATAATAAGGGAGATATTGCCAAAAGAACATGTATCTAAAATTTCAGATACTTTCAAACATTTTGTGGAATTCAATTGTCTCATTTATATGTATATCTCCCTAAAGTATTTATTCTAAGCATGACATTTTATCACTATAACTGTCAATCTTAATATAAATGTACCAAAAACATTCCAAGCATAAGAAAATTATTTGTTTTCGATCAACTTTCCACGCCAGTCTGCACATGAATTTTATTTCTGCTTAAAACAAATATATAAATAGAGAAAAACTGAAATATATGGCACACAGAGGTTAAATTAAAGGTTGGCAGTAGACATTAGGCACTACTCCAGCGACTGTCTGTCTGAAATAAAATTAATACGCACCCCGACTGGAAATAACTCAAACTTTGTTAATATTCCCCCTTGCCTATTTACGGATGTTCAATAACTAGGAGTTTCATTGCAAGAATAAGACGTTCAGGCTATTAGGCCTGAAAACTTTGCTTTTCCAAAATAGCGTAGAGATTGTAATAATATTGTTGGAGGGTAATTTTTAAATTATTTTAAGAAGAAAAGTCCTTACGAACCTATGTCCCAAAGTACTTAGTTTTCGAGAAACAAGGTGTTAAGAGTTTTTGAAAAGGTTTCGAAAAGAAGATATTTGACTACTGATGACTTATTGGATTAGTGACTTAATTAAGTAAAGGTGAAAACTGGCTAAACCTGTGTACAATTATATCAACCAGTAGCGGAGATACTGGAGATAGTACCAATAAAAATTTCATAATTGTGTTTCAAAGAAAAAAGGTCCCATTTAATTTATTTATAGAATGAGTCGTTTTCGAGTTATTATTGATTTAAATCTAAAATTAGCTTACCACACATTTGGATAAACGGACAGTAATTCTGAAACTATTTGCTTCACACAAGAAAATTCTGGAAATTTTTTGTTAAAAATACAAATTGGTCAACAAAAAAAACATCATTTTAATTGGAATTCTAAATCAAATTGATTTAAAATTAAATATTACAATCTTTCTGCTTTGTTGGTCTACCTTCCATAGATATACAAGATATAAAATATTTATTTCGTTTATATTTATTTTCGTTTGTTACGTTGTTGTTAATCGACAAATATTAAAGTTTAAGCAATGATTTCAAACAGTTGAAACGTATTTTGTCATTCCATTGAATGACAAGACCAGTTTGCTACTCCAAATTTTCGAATCTTTAAATTAAGTTTTGAAAAAGTTTCCTAAGGTTGAACCTATTACCAGTTATTTTTAATTTTTTAGATAAATCTAGAATATCGAGTATTTTAACAGTACGAATAGTATGTTTTTTTTTCGATATATTATATGAACAAATCTTTCTGGATATTGATTATTTAATAGCATATTTTTTATGAATCGTATATCATTTTTAAAAATTTGTTCTTTGAAAGAAATGTGCGAACAACAAAATAAATTTCATCTCAAGTAGCAAATAGTCTCTTCTTCTACTCTTTATAATTTTGCGTTCAATTAATTCAACGTGAACTGTTACACAGCAATTATTAACTATTTTTTAGTCTCTTTCATTGCACCACAAGCATTATTTTCAAAGTTGCCACGGCCACAAAGAAGATGACATTTATCAAGTGAAATGTTATCATATTTTAATCTTTTAAACATATGTTTATACAACGGTAGTTAGGTAGATTAATGTTTTAATATAGTCCAGTCGACAGAGGCCGAAAAGTTACTGTTGGTGACATTTCCTTGATAACTCGGAAATAACTAGACATGAATACTTTAAATGATGATGATAATAACAGTCTAATTTGGTGACAAAGTATTTTATCAGGAAAAAAAGTTATTAACAATTTAATCGTGAAAAAATTTTTTTTAGTAGTTTTCTTTAAATAACTCAGCGGGATGACTGTACGAAAAAATGCCTAGGACATGATTTTGTTCGTAATAAAAATAGCTACAAAATGGCGGTGGTCCGATTACGAAATTTGCAATAACGGCTTTGTTATTACAAATTTCGTAATCGGACCACTGCCATTTTGTAGCTATTTTTATTACGAACAAAATCATGTCCTAGGCATTTTTTCGTACAAAGTCATCCCGCTGAGTTATTTAAAGAAAACTACTAAAAAATTTTTTTTTCACTATTAAATTGTTAATAACTTGTTTTCCTGATAAAATACTTTGTCAGAAAATTGGCCTGTTATTGTACTCATCATTTAAAGTAGGCCTGTGTAGTTATTTCCGGGTTATCAAGGTTTGACACAGTACGAACCTCTACCAACTGGACTAATAATGAAAATCATAAATCTGAAATAATCTCTAAAGGAAAATGTCACTTTTGTATCGGTTAAACTATGAGAAAACTACATTCATATTTATATGTAGAAAAAGTTGGTTTTTGCAGAAAAAATCTTTTTTTAAACATGACGGATCGTACGCTCCGTAGTATCACGCTGAAGCTTACTGAAAACGCATTTCAGGTTCAGTGGAGGATTCGGAGTTACAGACGCGAGGCGTCCGCACTCCAGTATTCCAGTTAAATTCAGTTTTCCATCGTGTATTTTTAGAATTAGCATTAGAGAGAATTCAAGTTTTAAACACGTGCCGGATATTAACACATCTGAGTGGATTTTGTGTATTTTAAGCATTAAAATGTCAGTTTCTAATTATCTGTGACCAACGTCTTGTTACGGTGGATTGTAGTGGTACTTGCTGTGTGTGAAAAAGTTTGCCGAAAATGCCTCTCTTCAAAAAGAAAGCCGAAAGGAGGAAATCCTTATCGAGGAAGGAGATATCTCTCGCTCGGTTAGAGAATTTCAGAAGGGAAGTTGTTACCGACCACCATACCATACAATTGAGTAAGTACCCAGTTTTATTTCATCGAATGCGATGCGTTGAATTCTCTAGAAATTCCCAAGATTTTCCAAGGCGAAGTTATTTTAAGTATCAGTAACTAGAGAATGTTACCTTAAACTGCAATTATATGCGAGATTAGTTAGGAAATATGCCAAAAGCACATTATCAAATATATTTTGAAATGTTTAGGACACTTTATTATATATTCACATATTTCCTTAGGAAAATCTCAAAAGATCACAAACAATTTACTATTAATAAGGTTGTGAGGTTTTGAAGAATGCATACTATAAAAATGTTGGGATAAAGAGGAAGTTGTCTGGAAATCTTATTTTTGTATATTCAAAAATAAAGTTGGCATGGCTTGAGCTATATTCACCCACTTAGTTATGTCTAAGATTTGAATCAAACTTGATATTGATGGCTCAAAAAATATTTAACTTGATAGCAAAACAACAATTTTACTAATCTTTCAAAAAATAATTATCACTGCTATGTATCACCTAATATTTCAATATGTTCGTCAATTTTTCTGGTTTATATTACAGTAAAATTATTAAGATTTTTTATTTTTTCAATAATGCAAACAGTGAACATCATCGTCAATTTTTCGTCCATATTGTTAGTTAAATAGTTTCATATAATCTTGAGTCAAGAAAACGTTCATTATTTTTCAAACATCGAAATAATATATTTATAAAACTTATGGTTATATTGTTATATTTTCACGTCAAACAGAATTTTAGTCAGAAAAGTAATTCAATGAGTTAAAATTTCTTCTTTTTTGCAATGAAAATTATACTTAATTTGAAGGAAAATAACGTTGATGATGAGTTTTTAAGTGTGAAACGTAACATGTCATACACCATCGGATTGGTAGAAAATAAAGTATAATGATACTAAATTTTAATAAGTTTGTATTAAAAAAATGATATAAAGACAAAACGTTGAAATAAAAATCTGGTTCCCGAATATGGAATGGAAAAGCAAAACTTGCATTTGAAAAGCGTTTTTCTACTTTCACAAATAATAAACTTAAAAAACGGTGAAGTCGAAATTTCGTATTTCTAAAAAAAGTCCAAAATCAGACATTTACCTACATACATACTACATCAGGCAATGTTTACTAAAAAACTAAAGCTGAAGTAACAATCAAAGATCAAAGACATGGACCCACACGTCAAATTGATTAGTCTATTCGATAAAATTTATATACCATTATACAGTTCTATTAAGACAAAATCCATGCGGGAAACCCAAAGACTAAGTTTTCAGCAGCTTTTGTTACAATAACATGTTACAATAATTTTGTATTTTTTTAAATTAAACATTGAGTTCTGAAGGCCATGAAAATATATAATACACTAATATTCCGATTTTTATGATATCTCACGAATTTTAGGAGAGCTTGGGTAGTTATCAGTATACACTGTGTGATATGAAATATCTAGATATGTTGCAAACTATCTTCGATTCTTAGATTTATTAACTATAACCTTACGTGAGACATAGATCAGCACAAAATTCAACTAAAATAGATGAATTAATTTCTTTCATTCCTAAATTAATTTCTTTTGCATCCTAAATATTTGGTGTGATTCATTTATTGACAGAAGTAAACATATCGTTTGCAAAAAAAGTTTTTTTTAGAAAAAATAGAGAACATCAGAAATGACTATTCGTTTCTGTTTTTTTTTTCTTTTTAATGTATGTTAAAATGTCATACATTTTCTAGAAAGTGACCTTCTAGCTCCAACAAGTTTTCGTCTTGTGACCTCAATATATTCATTTTATTATAAGATTTTCATAACGATGTTTATTTAACACTTAATTTGATAACGCCTCTTCATACCCGATACAAGATATGCGCCACACATCTCTCTCATTATGTTGATGGGGAGGTAAACAAGAACAAGAAAATCAATATTCATTCGATCAATATCCTTTGTCAAGATAATACCAAACAACTAGCAGATAAGCATATATTCCCTTAAACAACTGTATCTAAATATTTTTTGGAAAATAATTCATTCATTTATTACTTCCTTTTATAAGAATAATGATTTTAGCCTGATGTAGAAACATTTTTCTAAGGAAAATACGTTATTAATTATTGCATTTAAACGCATATTTTTTGAGAAAAAAAATTCCAAATAATATACATGCAGGAAGTAAATCTGGACGTTTCTCTGGCCACTCTAAGTGATGACATGCCACTAGACGTAACTTTACTGTTTACAGAATGCAACAACGACGTTACAATCAATTTTCAAGACTGATTCCTCTCAACACAAACGAAAAGACGATAGTAATATTTTTCCTATAAGGATTCTTTACAGCTCCATACAATCGGTGAAAGAGCAAACATGAAGCATAGTTCTTGATCAATTACTTAAGAATCATGGAAGTTATGTGAAGGAGCCGTAGTCGAAGCTCTGGAGCCTAGTTACAAGTCTAAAGCTAGACGAAGAAAATAGATCTATGATTAGTTGCGATGGAAAAGGATAGCGGCCTTTCCATACATCTACAACCAATCAATCAATTAGTGATTATTATTTATCGAAAAGTAGAATCTATCTATCTGGATGCCTTTCATTCAATTACGAAATCTAAAATATTCTTAACATGTCATGTTTTTGGGGCTTCTAATCCTGATCCCATTTTACGGAAAAATTCAGAGTTCAATATATTTGATTGACAATAGACTATGTAAATCCTTGCGACATTAAATAACTTTTCTTTGATAGTCGAACCCCCCTTCTTGTTCAAATTTTAAATGTAGGTAGCTTTACTGACTGTACCTACTTTGAAATTAATATCTTCAGTGACTCTTGAGGAATTCTCCAAAAACTATATTTCATGTCCAATCGTTGAAAAGTGGTATGGTCCTCTGAATACATTTTACGAAAAACATTACTTGTCTTGTTCGCTTTCGCAAGAGCCATGAAAGTTTGTTAACAAAAATAACATAAATGCAGATCTCTTAACATTGATTTTCGTTTTTTCTTCATTCTATCTTCATTTTGGAAAATTCCCGTCTGCGTCTAATTATAGTAATGTATGTTTGAAAACACAGCATCAGAGCGGAAATACCACATGCGCGCCAAATCGAAAGTTCTAGATTATTATAGCAAATACTTAGTGGAATAAAGCAACCCATGGAACTATTATACCGAATTATACTTGTGCGTGTTTTGCCCTGCCCTGTGAATCATGCGAATTCATCAATGTTTTCTAGGTGCAACAAAGTCGATGTTGGTGTAACGTGGATTTGGCTGTCTACAATAACAAATAATAGTAGAATACCGGAAATTTTTTGAATTAATATTTTATTTGTCACGGTAAACACATGGGAATAAGAAAATGTGATGGTACCAAATTTAAATATAACATATAGGTATTTTGAAGCAACTGAATTTTATTTTCGCGTATAATTAATGTATCGTCCTTGAAAAAGCTTTTATCAGATAGTCAATCATTAGAAAATTTATGTTTTATTATGGTTAGTAGTTAAAATATCAAATTTATGTAGTAACTTAATATAAGAATATAGATGTTTCAATTTTATAATCTTTGAATAAAATATTTTTTTATATTTTTTATAGAAAAAAGAATGTCTATGAGTGTATCTGCAGTAGTAGAACGTTATTTGAAAAATTTACAAATACAGGCGGCGCACAGTGGGCAAAAATTCAAATCATATGGCGGATTAGATGGTATAGCAATTAATGTTTCTTTAATCAGTTTCAAAAGTCATATATTTTATGCTGAAATTGCGAAAAATATGAAATTAGTCAAGACTTCTTTTTAAATTAGGAAAGAGTCATTAGTCTCAAATAACCCACAAACCCAATAATCCATAAATCCAATAAACCCAATCGCCCATTCTCCTAAATCATAAACCTATACACCCATAATTTCTAAAGTCCCTAAATACCTAAACTATACGTTTTGTGGGTTTATGGGTTATTTTATTTACAGGTGATAAGCTTTATGATTTTGGGAATAAGATTCATGGGTTATTCGATTTATAGGTTATAAAAAGGTTTATGATTTTGGGGATTAGGTTTATGGGATTTCAGACTTTGGTATCATGAATTTTTGGGGTGAATGGATTTTGGGGTTTTGGGGCTTATGAATTTTGGGATTGATGAGTTTTGGGGTTAAAGAGGGTTTGGGCGTTTATAAGTTTTAAGCCTTAGGTGTTTATGGGTTTTGGGGTTTAGGTGTTTATCGGTTTTAGGGATCAGGTTTTTTAGATTTTAGGGTTTAGGCATTTATGGATCTAATGGTTTACGTGATTCTGGGTTTTAGGGTTTAGGTGTTTGTGGGTTTTAGGGTTTATGAGTTTTGGAGTTTACGGCTTTATTGGTCATTAGTTTTAATATGTTTCGGTTATTAGGTGAATTTGGTTTATTAAATTTATTGTTTATTAGATTTGCGATTAAAGAAACATTTATTGCTATACCATGTAACCTGCCGCGTGACTCAAATTGTTTTCATTATTGCCCACTGTGCGGCGTAGATTTAAAAAAAAACTCGATAATATTCTAAAGCCAAACAATGCCCATGAAAAATTATGCTTTAAATCGATTTTTTGTTAGAGAAAAAAAACTTTATTTGTTAACTATCAAACTTTATTTAAGAAATTATAAAAATATACCAAAAATGGTATCTATTAAGTAAATTAAAAATGGGAAATGATGCATTTTATCTCGTTTTCAAACAGTAATTATTAATTGGTTGTGTATTTAATTTCTTCAGTTAAACTTCTTGGCATATCCCCAAACAAATAAATATATAAACATTATGTGTACAACACACTCTTCCTTTTTATTAAATATAACTTGACCCTCTTTCTTTTCTACAATGCCAGTCTTGATAACTAAAAATAAATTTCAATAGATATTCTAGTTGTCCATTCATAATAAAGCAAAATTATATAAATAAATAAAGTATGTTATTATCCAGAAGACAATTTTATTTGACGTGCTACTACTAT